CTCTCTCTCTCTCTCTCTCTCTCTCTCTTTCTCTCTTGCACACGCACGTGTGCACCAATCCTGGGGCTGGGAGGGAGAGAGGGTGGGTGGAATACTGGATCAAATTTCTCCATTAATCAACTGTCAAGCAAACTGCTTATAATACTTCTAAAACAGTAACTAGGAGAAAGTATTTGAAGCACTGAAATTGTGATTGCATGTTAAGTTTTTTCTGATAAAACAAAGTACCTTTTTAGGAAAAAGGAGGGAAAGGAGAGTTGGAAAGGAGTAAGGGAATGATGTAGGAGGTAATATCAATTGAGATGTGTTGTACTTCTGTAGTTAAAAGCTGACATGTTGAATGGCAATCCTTCAATACGACTTAAAGATAATAATAAAAAAAAGTTTACTTTAAATTTTTTTAATGAAATGATACAAAATGATGCAAAACATACTAACCTTTCAATGACCTAACCATAGGAGAGCTCTGCCAGGCAGTTGGCGGGGGAGGGGGGGCAAGGGGTTGTACCTGGAACATCTGGCGGACCTTCCTCCGGGGCAGGCTGACGTTGAGCTTGTGCATCAGCTGGTGGATCTCCTCGATGTTCAGCAGCCCATCCCCGTTCTTATCCGCCTCCTCGAAGGTCTGCTTCACCCACGGGCGCAGCAGTCAAGGAAATCAACACAAAACCGCTCTCATGGAACACTCCAGACAACATTAAAAGGAGCACGGAGCCTGGGAAGAAATGCTTCCGAGAAGCCCCTGGGATCCACAGGCCCCGAGGCGCTCCCCACGAGGACGGGAGAACAGACATGGGGGTGGGAATCAGGGCCAACTATCGCAAAGGCTTCTCTGACCCAAGCATTCTCACTCAACCTTATCCAAAGGAATACTAAGTCCACTGCTGCACAATCCGCCGTTTCACCTGTGGCCAAGGGGCAGCCTGCACTCCTAGCCCAAATTCCACTTGAGAAGATGGCAACTGAATTCATATATCTGTGAGGAAGCATCCTAAACTCAAGGCATGTCATCTGACTTTGAATACATTATTCCTTTTCCTCATTTCCTGACCAGCTTCGCTCCATTGGAACGCGGGCCTGTATCAGCACACATAACACCAGAGGTCCTCATGGAAGAGGCCCAGAGACAGCCTGCGGCAGGACCAGACCAGCGGTGCAGCTCTTCAACACCTCATGTTCCAGGATCGTCCTGGCAAAACCTCCAATGTACAGTGAAGCTGGCCCCTATCTTCTCAGAGGCGCTCTCAGCCTGTGTCTACCTGTGCAATGTTCCCCCATCCACTCTTATGCCTAAAGCACGAGACCGTCCAGCTCACACAAATAAGGACGTAAAAGTAGAGGAAAGGGGGAAATGTGGCCAGGAGAGGCAGCACTGGGTCTCAAGCCCAGCTCTCGGCAGCCTCACTTACCATCCTACCCCCCCCCCCCCGCCTCTTTCACAATGTCTCTCTACACTGTCCTCTTCCTGCAGAGTTCTCACACAGTCGGCCAAGCTTGCAATCGTTCCTCTGGTCAGCCCAGAGTGAGGAGCTGACCTCAGGGAGGCCTTCATCAGGAAACAGACGCTCATTCTGGCTTCTCCCGTGATTTTAGGAGGGCAAGTGTTAGTAAGCAAAATGTCACTTCCTCTAGAGTTCCAAACAACTCAACGTTCACACTGTAAGTTGAAAAGAGAGAGGAGATAAAAAGGCAGAAAGAAGCTCAGGGGCCCTGAGCTGGAATTCCAGAAAGTGTCTGTTAAAGCAAATGGATTTTATGACAAGGCAGGACTTTCCTTCCTGGTCAGCAACACTTTCCCGGGGACAGTGAATGGATGCCTCTACAATGCGGGTCTGGCTGTCTCCTACGGGAGTGAATGTCAGCCTCTGCAGAACACTTCTGCTCCTGAGTTCACAGGAGCCTGTATCAGCGGGTTTATGTATTCCCTGACACGGGAGGGAGAAGAGGGGTAAAGAGTGAAAGAAAGAGGCAGAAAGAAGAAAAACTTTAAGTCCTAGGCCTGTGAGAGCAAACTAAGCACAGCATGCTCTTCCTCTGCCCCTGTTCATGCACAGGCGCACAGGCACAGCACCGGAGGGCTAGGAGGATATTGGTCATGGGTTCTCTGCCTTTTGGCCAGGGAGTCCTCGTCGCTGATGCCGGCCATCAGGTACTTGAGGCCGGTGATCCACGTGCGCGCCTCCTCGGGGTTGGAGGTGATCAGGTCCAGGGATTCCATGTGGTTCCCGTGGTAGATGGTGAAGCAGCAGCTGGGGTCGAAGCTCCCCTCAGCCTGCCGGTGGAATATTTCCGACTGCCGGCCCTCCGTGACTTTGTAAATGGAGTCGATAAGAACTGTCAGAGCCAAGAGAGGCCAGGGCAGAAGACAGGTGGAGGCCATTACTTGAAGTGGTTGGGAAACGAAAGCAAAACCACCCTGCTTGAATGTACGTATCAACAAGCTGCTGTCAAGTCCCGCTGGGAAACACTGACCCTGTTTCCTTCAAGGAAACATTTTTACATATATTGAAACTCAGTGAAAACCAATAGATACTCCCCACTCAGAGTTCACCATCAGCCCCCTAAGTTTCCAGCCTGCAGACATAGGCTTCGCCCCAACGACTGGCTTCCCTGTTCTCCAATATACAGAGGGAATGTGGCAGCACCTCAGTCCCTGTAGCTAAGTGAGCCAGTGTAATGGTAAACTTTCTACTTATATCCATCTGCCTGTCCACCCAGACATTCAGCCAACCAGCCACCCATCCATCCTCCCTGCACCCATCCATCCATTCCTCCATCCATCATCCGCCCATACATCCATCCATCCATCCACCTATCCATCCATTCCTCCATCCATCCATCCATTCCTCCATCCATCATCCACCCACCCATCCATCCATCTATCCATTCATTCTTCTATTATCCATCATCCACCATCCATCAATCATCCATCCACCCAGTCAGCCAATTGCCACCCATCCATCCATCCATTCATTCTTCTATTATCCATTATCCACCATCCATCAATCATCCATCCACCCAGTCAGCCAATTGCCACCCATCCATCCATCCATTTCCCCATCCATCATCTACCCATCATACATCCATCTATCCATTCATTCCTCTATCATCCATCATCCACCATCCACCATCCATCAATCATCCATCCACCTAACCAGCCAACTACCATCTATCTATCCATCCATTCCTCTATTCATCATTCACCCATCCATCCATCCATCCTAATGGTTCTGCTTTATGAATTCTGACAATATGTAGGAGAGAGATGTTAAAACCAGGGATCAGTTAACCATTTTTATTGAGTGTAGTTACAACAGTGGTGCTAACTCATTAAATAGCTGACCGTACTTAGAATATCACAATGTACTTCAAAGGCTGTTGGATTTATATCATTTAACTTTTATGGGAAAATAAAAAGTCCTCAACTTTATAACCTCACATTCTGATTTAAAACCACATCACACTCCAACACAAGAAAAATATGAGCTTTTATAACATTCCTATATATATGGATTTGAATTCCCCACAGAGTGTCATCATTTACTGACCCCAAACTTGCAAAACTATGGGTGTTCCACAGACCTGAATTCCCTAGAGCCTACCAGCATTATCCATGTGTTACCATGGCAATCCAAGCAAAGTATTTGTCAGTTAGATTTACTTTTTGCCTTCTCGCTCTTCCTGGAGGGCCGCCATCGGAGGCGTGTCCGGTGCTCGTCCAGATAGAAGAGCCGGACCAGCCCTTTGGTCCCACGCTTCAGTTTGATCATCTGCGTCCCGGACTGCATGACACTCATGCATCTTTCAACTGCAAAAGAGACCCAAGGCCAATCAGCTGCTATGTAGTACGCACGTGTACTGCTGTGCAGAGCACAGAGTCAAATAAAACTTCCCAGAGGCTGCAGCGATCGGAAGAGGTAACAGGAAAGAGAATGAATTCATCAAGCTTACACCACCAGCAATAAGAAACCTTACTGACAAAAATAAAATTCTGCTTCCAAGTAAAGAATGTATCTTTTCTTCTGTTTTCTGAAACACATGACCACTTGAACTTAGGTTTTTAAAGCAAGTTTTTTTTTTATAAATCTTGAGTGTTTTTATACAGCCAGATATAAAAACAACACATAATGATATCTTCTCCTGACTTGTTTGCTTTGTTTTTCTTTCTTTCTTTTTTTGTGGTGCTGGGACTCAAATTCGGGGCTTTGTGTATACTGAGCATTGCTCTGACACAGAACCATAGCTCCAGACCAATAAAAATAAATTTGGCAAAATGCCAAGAACTGTTTAAGTTGGATTATAGTTACATGTAGTCATGGATTATTATATTTTTATGTTTGTAAACACTTAAATGTTTAACTAAGAAAACAACAGATTTTTTAATATAAAACATTTGTTTTAAACTGCTGAGATTTTTTCGTGACTGAACTCAGATAAGGTCCAAATCAGTTATAGTCTTACTTAAAGCTGTAATTTAAATCCCATCTGCCTTGAGAAGAATCCTGCTGAACATGTCTGCTGTTTTTGCTTGTTTCTATGTCTTAGAAGCACTCCTCAGCAATTCTGTGTGTCTTGGGTGACCTGTCCATCACCCGAGTAAAGAACAGGCACCTGACTTCAGTTTAGAGCAAATTAATCTCCTCTCCAAGAACACAAACCCCAAGCCAGTCCCCGCCTGACAGAGCGGAGACGTTTCTACCATCAAGCCTTCACAGGTGTTCTGATGAAGCTTCCCTGAGACACCACCCTTGTCACTGTTCTTATTCTTCTCAAGAATGACAACGGATTTCCCTCCCGACTCTGAAATCGCGGCAGTATCCTTTCAAAGCACTCTTCATTTTTAACATGTCAGCCAGAAATAGAGCACTGGAAATCTTTTCCTCTGAGTCTCAGTATGCAGAAGCCAGTAAAAAGGACAGAAGAAGACACACTATAAATAAACCTCAACAAGGTGACACTTCAGCTCTTTTGGCTAAGTCTCTTGCTCTTTTTTTACTAGGGAAGAAAATCTGATCCAATAGCAGTACAGTACACCTACTACGTACCCACTGGAGTGAATATTCACACACCACAGGCACTGTTTATCCTGTGAAGAGCCTTCTCTTACCAAAGTGAAATCAAGGAGAAAATACATCAAATTAAGTGTAGTTTCAGGACCCAATAGTGTATGAAGGTGAAACATAGGTTGCCTTTACTCATATAAACTTGAACCATCAAATACTCAAGTAATGAAATTATTACTTAATTTATTAACTGGATTACTGATTCTCTGGGAGTTTGGTATCTGAAGCTGTCCCTTTTTTCCCCTTCTTGCAGGGTATCTTGTCAGCCTGGTAACTACCATTATTTTTCTTTTTATTATCTTCGTTGTACAGGAGTTGTGATTTAACAAAGCAGTTTATGAGTACAATATATTTTGGTCAGTGTCGATCCTTTCAACATTCTCACCCATCCCTCCTCTACCTACCCTTTCCCTCATTCCTAAAACTGTAGGGTTTACACTGCATTCTCCTCTTCATTCATTTACCCCTTCCCCTCAGCCCCACCCTACCCTTGCATATATACTTCCTAGTGTTGTGTTTTGTTTGGTTCCACCGAGCTTTGATTTTGCCTTTTAAGGAATTGCACTATTTGTGATCTCCCTTGGATTTACCATATTTCAGTTCATACCTTTGTATATACTTGTATACCACCCAATGCATTTACTTATAAGTTTATAAGCTAAATCCAGCTTCCACATATAAGAGAAAACAAGCCATCCTTGTCTCTCTGAGACTGACTTGCTTCACTTAGCTCCACGGCCTGCGCACAAGTTCTAGTGCTTCCCACTTCCTTCCTGAGGTATACTCAAAGTTTAGGTCTTTGATGAAGAGCCTTGATATGGTATGATGATTTTGGGACAGGGTAAGAGACAGGGGTCTATTTCTAGTTATTCCACATGTGGATCATCTGTTTTCCCAGCACCATTTGTTGAAGAGACTATCTTTCCTCCAAAGCACGTTTTGTATGATTTGTCAAAAAAAAAAAATTCAGATGGCTGTAACTTCAAAGATTCATTTCTAATCAGTTGGTCTTTGGACCTCTTTTTGTGCTATGCAGTTGTTGTTCATAATGGCTGTGTAGTTGAATATGAAATTCAGTATTGTGGTAACTCCAGCACTTCTCCAAAGTCCAAATGGTCAATAAATACACAAAGAAAGGCTCAATGTCCTAGCCATCCAGGAAATGTAAATCAAAGGACATTGAGGGAATGACCATCATAAAGAACACAAACAACTGGGCTGGGAAGGTGGCTCAGTGGTAGAGTGCTTACCTGGCATATATTAAGCCCTGGGTTCAATTCCTCAGCACCACATCCATAGAAAAAGCCAGAAGTGGTGCTGTGACTCAAGTGGTAGAGCACTAGCCTTGAGCTAAAGAGCTGAGGGACAGCCCGCAGGCCCTGAGTTCAAGCCCCAGGATTGGCAAACACACACACACACACACACACAAACACACAGCAGATGCTGGCAATGATGTGGGGGAGAGAGAACCCCATTACACAGTGGGAGGGAGTGTGAACTAGGGCAACCACTATGGAAACAAGCATAAAGGTTTCTCAAGGAACTAAAAATGAAACAACTACCCTACTAACCAGCCTACTATCTGGACATACCAGTCATGGGCATTTATCTTCAAAATGTAAGCTGTCACTATTCACAATGGCTGAGCTAGGGAAACAGCCAGGTCCTATAACTGAGGAATAGATGAATGCAATTACCTGTTACTCAGATAAAAAATAAAATAAATTAGCTAGGCACTGGTGGCTCATACCTGGAATTCTAGTACTCCAGAGGTGAGATCTGAGAATCTTGGTTCAAAGCTAGCCTGGGCAGGAATGTCTGTGAAACTCTTAACTCCAATTAACCACCCAAAAGACAGAAATGGAGCTGTAGCTCAAGTGGAAGAGAGACAACCTTAAGAGAAAAACAAAAAAACTAAGACACAGCACCCAGGCCCTGAGTTCAAGTCCCAGTCCCAGCACACACACACACACACACACACACACACACACACACACACACACAAACATAGTCTGAATGCAGTACAATATATACATATGTGAGACACTGAAAGGAAGGAAATGTTTGAAGAATTAACAGCACTTTAACAAGGAATATTAGGAAGTGGAACATGCCCTGCCTGTAGCTGTGGGTTCTAATGGGAGGGAGGGAAGAGAGAGGGTAGAAGAGGGCAAATGTGATCAAAATATTGTATGTACCTGTGTGAACCTGAGGCTTACTGAGGTTTGAGAAGGGGGGTGGGAGGAGGAAGAATGACAGAGGGGTGACCCTGACACAGATCTGTTGTATCTATTGTATGCATATGTGGATGTGTTAAAGTGGAACCAGGAACAACCTACTGAGGTTGAGATGAGAATGACAAATACTCCTTAAGAAAACTGGGTCAGTGGCGTGTGTCCACACGTGTCAGTCATGCAAGAGGATGCGGACTCACGCTCAGCACCACCAGAAAAATAAGTCAGACTCAAGCGTTCTTTGTGTAAAAGGAAGCAATGGTGGAGATCAAATACTCGCCCAGCCATGTCTAAATCATTTACGTGTCAGAACAAGTCAGTTTCTTCATGGTCCACCTCCAGTGGAGATGTGAAACAGCATTTTCTACCTCAGTAAGAGCCCTGCTCTTATGAGCAGACGGCATGAAAGAGGCCAGACAGGCTATCCTGCAGGTACACAGAGGTGGCTCAGGACCCTACATACATCCCATACATCTCCTGCCTGGCACACTCGGCAAATGGCTTCAAATGAAGACCAAGACACACACAGCCCCTGTGATCCTGTATCCTCCCCCAGAGCAGCTTTCATATTTAGAAAACCAATTTTTTGCATTTGAGGCAGCAATGTCTATGAAATAGAGAAACTAATACTTATCAGCCCATGGCCTAGCACACACCTGCTGTCTATTGCCTAACACACACACACCTGCTGGCCACTGCCTAGCACACACACGCACACACCTGCCAGCCACTGCCTAACATGCACACACCTGCCAGCCACTGCCTAACACGCACACACCTGCCGCCCACTACCTAGCACGCACACACCTGCTGTCTACTGCCTAGCACTCACATACCTGCTGGCCACCGGCTAGCACGCACACATGCTTCCCACCTTCTAGTACGCACATACCTGCTGGCCCACCACCTAGCACACACACCTGCCACTCACTGCCTAGCATGCCTGCACCTGCTGCCCACTGCCTAGCACACACACACCTGTCACCCCACCACCTAGCACGCCCACACCTGTCGCCCACTGCCTAGCACACACACACACCTGCTGTCTACTGCCTAGCACTCACATACCTGCTGGCCACTGGCTAGCACGCACACACCTGCTTTCCACCTCCTAGTACGCACATACCACCACCTAGCACACACCTGCCACTCACTGCCTAGCATGCCCACACCTGCCACCCACCACCTAGCATGCCCACAGCTGCCACCCACCACCTAGCATGCCCACACCTGCTGCCCCACCACCTAGCATGCCCACACCTGCCACCCACCACCTAGCATGCCCACACCTGCCACCCACCA